CAAAAGTAGCCACAGACGGGAGCAAACGGGCACAGCTCTGCCCCCACGAAGCTTTGTTTACAAAAGCAGGCAGTGGTCTGGGTTTGGCCTGGCGACGGTGGTTTGCTGACCCTGCTCCAGATCAAAGAATGAAAACCATGGAGAAGAAATCACCAGCTTCCCTTGGGCAGAACCCTGGGAGCCAAACGCTTTAAATGGTGACCGGGCAACTCTCTTTCCTGGTCACTATCTAACCTGGGCAACTTTCTGCCTCCAGTGGGAGAGCAAAGAGTGAACAGAAACGCTCCTGCTGCAGTGATTTGTGTTTTTTTTTTGAGAACAAGTCTCCCTCTGCCATCTAGGCTAGAGTGCGGGCGCATGACCTCAGCTCACTGGATCCTTTGCCTCCCGGGTTCAAGTAATTCTCCCACCACAGCCTTCCAAGTAGCTGGGATTATAGATACCCGTCACCATCCCAGGCTAATGTTTTTTTGTTTAGTACAGATGGGGTTTCACCATGTTGGCCAAGGTGGTCTCAAACTCCTGGCCTCGCCAAGCGCAGTGGCTCATGCCTATAATCCCAGCACTTTGGGACTAAGGCAGGCGGATCACCTGAGGCCAGGAGTTAGAGACCAGCCTGACCAACATGGAGAAACCCCATCTCTGCTAAAAATACAAAATTAGCTGGTCATGGTGGCGGGCACCTGTAGTCCCAGCTACTTGGGAGGTTGAGGCAGGACAATCGCCTGAACCCGGGAGGCAGAGGTTGTGGTGAGCTGAGATTTCACCATTGCACTCCAATCTGGACAAAAACGAAATTTCATCTCAAAAAAAAAAAAAAAAAACAAGGGCCGGGTGCGGTGTCTCAAGCCTGTAATCCCAGCACTTTGGGAGGCCAAGGCGGGTGGATCACGAGGTCAAGAGATCGAAACCATCCTGGTCAACGTGGTGAAACCCCGTCTCTACTAAAAATACAAAAAATTAGCTGGGCATGGTGGCATGTGCCTATAATCCCAGCTACTCAGGAGGCTGAGGCAGGAGAATTGCTTGAACCCAGGAGGCGGAGGTTGCGGTGAGCCGAGATCGCGCCATTGCACTCCAGCCTGGGTAACAAGAGCGAAACTCCGTTTCAAAAACAAACAAACAAACAAACAACAACAACAAAAAAAACAAGAAAAAAACTCCTGGCCTCGGGTGATCCATCTGCCTCAGCCTCCCAAAGTGCTGGGATGACAGGCGTGAGCCACCATGCCCGGCCACAGAGGTGGTTTTTAGCGTTTACGCAGACCTGCCGGAGGCCAGTGAACATAATGAACCTTCCCCTCTGGAAAGACGCAGCTAAGCAGCAACTACACGCAGTGTGTTGGCATGGAATTCCAAGGGTGTGCATGGCCCTCCTGAAACTGACCCATGGACCATGTAGAGGACCATGTAGAGACCTGAAGAGCCCAGGGAAAGATCTCTTCCTCACTCGGAAAGAACACTAGTTTCTTTGTATTTGAAAGAGCTCTTACAAGTCACTAAATAATAATAATAATAAAATCAAGAGCGCTGTAGAAAAACAGACAAATGACTCAAAGAAGCAATTCACAGAAGAAATGCAAATTGTCAAAAAAGCAGAGAAAAGATGATATGTCTTAGTAATAATCAAAGACATTTTAAAACTCATGGTATATCATTTTTCACCAGATCAGAGTGGCTCATGTCTAGAAGATGAGTCGAACAGACTGGAAAGGACATGGAGAAAAAGGCACTCGCATGCATGCCGGTGGGCTTCTGGCAGCAGGCAGTTGGTTTTTTGAGACAGAGTCTCACTCTTATCACCCAGGCTGAAGTGCAGTGGCATGATCTTGGCTCACTGCAGCCTCCGCCTCCCAGGTTCAAGCGATTCTCCTGCCTCAGCCTCTTGAGTAGCTGGGATTACAAGCACCCACCACCACACCCAGCTAATTTTTGTATTTTTAGTAGAAATGGGGTTTCACCATGTTGGCCAGGCTGGTCTCCCAACTCCTGACCTCAGGTGATCTGCCCGCCTTGGCCTCCCAAAGTGCTGGGATTACAAGCGTGAGCCACAGTGCCAAGCCAGGTAGCCTTTTACAAGATGATTTAACAGTACATGTTAAAATTTAAAATATGCTAATCCTGTGGCCCAGCACTTCCACTTCCAGGAACTTATTTTACAGAAATACACGCACAGAGATGTTCACTTTAGCAGCATTCATAAATCGGAAAAACTGGAAACCAAGCCAAATGTCCATTAGTAGGAAACTGGTTGAATAAATGATGATACATCTACATTACAGAATAACACAGAACTGCTTAATAACAAGGCAGACCTTGAAGTAATGACAGCAAAAGATGTAAAAGATACATTAAGGGAAAAGGCAAGTTATCACGGTTCTTTTTTTTAAGAAAAGAATAACATTGGTATATGCAGATCTTTTAAAAACTGAAGAAATATATTCCAAACTGATGAAGACGGGATTATAGAATTTTTTTTTTTTTTAAGGCAGAATTTTGCTCTTGTTGCCCAGGCTGGAGTGCAATGGCGCGGTCTTGGCTCACTGCAACCTCCGCCTCCTAGATTCAAGCAATTCTCCTGCCTCAATCTCCCAAGTAGCTGGGATTATGCGCCACCACACCACGCTAATTTTTTTGTATTTTTAATAGAGACAGGGTTTCACCATGTTGGCCAGGCTGTTCTCGAACTCCTGACCTCAGGTGATCGGCCCTCCTCAGCCTCTCAAAGTGCTGAGATTACAGGCATGAGCCACCATGCCTGGCAGGCTTATAGATGTTTAACCTACAATTCATGTTTCTGAAATGTTGAATTTTCACTATTATTTTTGGGACAAAGTCTCACTCTGTCACCAGGCTGGAATGTAGTGGTGCAATTATGGAATACTATGACCTCAAACTTCTGGGTTCAAGTCTTCCTCCCACCTCAGCCTCCTGAGTAGCTGTGACTACGAGCATCTGCCACCATGCCCTGGCTAATTAAAAAAATATATATGGAGAGATGGAGTCTTGCTTTGTTGCTCAGACTGGTCTCATCCCTAGCCTCAAGAGATCCTCCCACCTTAGCCTCCCACAGTGCCGGCATTGCAGGTGTGAGCAACTGCACCCAACCCAAATTTTTAAAATAAAAACCACTTTTAGGCCAGGTATGGTGGCTCACACCTGTAATCCCAGCACTTTTAGAGGCCAAGGTGGGTGGATCATCTGAGGTCAGGAGTTCAAGACCAGCCTGACCCACATGGTGAAACTTCGTCTCTACTAAAAATACAAAAAGTTAGCCGGGCGTGGTTGTGCACACCTGTAATCCCAGCTACTCGGGAGGCTGAGGCAGGAGAATCTCTTGAACCTGGGTGGCTTGAACTCAGCTCATCTTGCAATGAGCTGAGATCACGCCATTGCATTCCAGCCTGGGCAACTGAGCAAGACTGTCTCAAAAAAAAAAAAAAAAACCAGGAAAGGCCCAGAAGCCCTCAGAGCTCCCTCAAAGCTAAACAAGAACCCTTTAATGGCACCACTCCTGACTCAGCAACAAGGGAAATCAGAAACCAGAGTGTCCTACAAATAGTAATGGTAGGTATTGTGTCTTAAAACTCTTTTCACCGGGAAACGGACACAGGTGAGGTTTCCTTGCTGGAGAGAACTCTCTCTGAAGAGGCTGCTATCTTCATTGCTTTCCAATGGCCAGCTCTGAATGGCACCATTGCCCAACTAGGCAAACCCACAGAGAGTTCCCTTCTTCCTTCTGGGACAGACTTTTTGTTCCTTTTTTGACTTTCTTTTTTTTTAAGACAGAGTCTCCCTCTGCCGCCCAGGCTGGAGTGCAGAGGTGCGATCTCGGCTTGTGGCAACCTCCGCCTCCTGGGTTCTCCCACCTCAGCCGCCGAGGAGCTGGGATTGCAGGTGCCTACCATCACACACGGCGATCTTTTGTATTTTTTAGTAGAGACAGTTTCGCCATGTTAGCCAGGCCGTCGAACTCCTGACCTCAAGTGATCCACCTGCCTCGACCTTCCAAACTGCTGGGATTTCAGGCATGAGCCACCGCACTGGCCCCTTTATTCACTTTTCTTCCAACCTGTTTCTTTCTTCTGCCTCCCCACTTCAAGAAGACACACATTTTGTGACATCCTGATGCTCTCAACGCGGGGGTGCTCAGCACCCAAGGAGACATCTCCCTTACCAGACAGCTGGCTGTGCCCTGGCACTCAGGAAACCGGGAAGAGCAGAAGCCCAGGTGTCCCCTGAGTTTCCCGTTGGGCTCTGGACAAAGGCAAAGGCTGGGGCTGGGCACTTCCATGGGAGGTCTGTGTGGAGGCTGCTCTATGAGCCCAAGCTCCCAGAGCCCCCGGTGACAGCTACCATGGAAAACAGGAAAAGAAAGTGGGCGGCAGCGTCTTGTTTTCCTGCTTCTGCCTTCCTTGGGCACATGGCTAGTGAGCTGCTTCCTCAGCATCAAAGCCCTGATCAGAGGCAGGGAATGTTGGCCGGGTGCACTGGCCCATGCCTGTCATCCCAACACTTTGGGAGGCCGAGGGGGGGCAGATCACCTGAGGTCAGGAGTTGGAGACCAGCCTGGCCAACATGGTGAAACCCCGTCTCTACTAAAAATACAAAAATTAGCCGTGCGTGGCATTGGGCGCCTGGGATCCCAGCTACTCGGGAGGCTGAGGTGGGAGAATCTTTTGAACCTGGGAGGCAGAGGTTGCAGTGGGCTGAGATCACGCAACTGCACTCCAGCCTGGGCGACACTGGGAGACTCTGTCTTAAAAAAAAAAAAAGGAAGGCAGGGGATGGTGAGAGCCATACCCTGCTGCCTATAGGACCTCAGTTTAGGAGGCCCTGCCGTGTTCTGTGGCCAGAACACTTCACCCAAGCCCCTGTACTGTTGGGGACACCCAGGCACACACAGGCAAACGGAAGGCAAGGATGTAGAAACAACCACAGCAGCCTCAAACGTAGAAGCAGATTACTGAACTAGAGAGCTTTAAGAAGTCCGTACTCACTGTTAATGAGGTGAAGGTCATACACATCCCACCAAAGCCGTTCAGAGCCAGGGCGATGAAGATGAGCACCGAGAGGGCTGTGGGGAGACGCGAGCCTCGTGAGTCAGTGGAAACCCCGGCCGAGCGCCTGGGAAGCGGATCCGGCCCAGAGTCCTGAGCGGTGCAGGCTCCGGAAAACCCAGTGAGGCAGGCTGGGGTTAGTCCCGACACCTGGGGAGGGAACCACCTCTTTCTCATGCCCCTCCTCTTGCCTATTTTTTTGGGGGGGGCGGGGACAGAGTCTCGCTCTGTTGCCCAGGCCGGAGTGCAGTGGCGCAATCTTGGCTCACTGCAGCCTCTGGCTCCCAGGTTCAAGCAATTCTTCTGCCTCAGCCTCCTGAGTAGCTGGGACTTCGGCGTGGGCCATAATGCCCAGCTAATTTGTTATATTTTTAGTAGAGCCAGGGATTCGCCATGTTGGGCAGGACTGTTTCAATCTCTTGACCTCCTGACCCACCTGTCTCGGCCTCCCAAAGTGCTGGGATTACAGGTGTGAACACAGCACCCGGCCTCTTTTTTTTTTTTTTTTTTTGAGACGGAGTTTCGCTCTTGTTGCCCAGGCTGGAGTGTATTGGTGCGACTGTGGCTCACTGTAACCTCTGCCTCCTGGGTTCCAGTGGTTGTCCTCCCTCAGCCTCTCAACTAGCTGGGACTACAGGCATGCACCACCATGCCCAGCTAACTTTTTGTATGTCTCACCATGTTGGCAGGCTGGTCTTGAACTCCCAACCTCAGGTGAGCTGCCCACCTCAGCCTCCCAAAGTGCTGCCGTGATTACAGGCATGAACCACCACACCTGGCCTCCGCTTGCCTATTTCACAGATCCTGGGCTCTTGCAAAAGGGGCATCCCATCTTCCTCTCTCCAATTAACATTAGCATTGGCCAGGCACAGTGCTCACACCTAGAATCCCAACACTTTGGGAGGCTGAAGCCGGAGAATCACTTGAGCCCAGGGGTTAAAGACCAGCCCGGGCAACAAAGTAAGACCTCCTCTCTAAAAAAAAAAAATTAAAAATGAGCCAGGTGCTGTGGTGTGTGCCTGCAGTCCCAGCGGTTCTGGAGGCTGAGGTGGGAGGATCACTAGAGCCCGGGAGGTCCAGGGCACAGTGATGTGATGCATAACTGCACTCCAGCCTGGGCGACAGAGCGAGACCCTGTCTCTAAAACAAAACAGCAAAAACGAACATTAGCTTCACCTGTCAACTTGAAAAAACAAAACAGAACAGCACATTAGCAGTAAGCAGAGTCCTAAAGAAGCTACTTCACTGAATCCAAAAACAGAGGTGCCTGAAAATCAGCAGATGAGCCTGGCTGAGATTTTGGGGAAACTCAAGTCCTTTTTTTGGTGTTTGCTCTACAAGTCCTTAAAACAACGGCTCTAGCTGAGCAGGGCTGTGGACCAGGTAGCTTCTAAGTCATCCTTCATGCTGTGGCCTGTGCTGCCTGGAGGGGACTCAGCTCGTGACTTCTGCACACACGGAGGACTGTGTCCCTGTGGCCAACCTGGTTCTTAGAACTCACCTAGGCCCGGCAAGGCAGCTCATGCCTCTAATCCCAGCACTTTGCAGGGCCGAGGCGGGCAGATCACCTGATGTCAGGAGTTTTGAGACCAGCCTGGCCAACATGGTGAAACCCTGTCTCTACTAAAAATACACAAAATTTTGGGCGTGGTGGTGAGTGCCTGTAATCCCAGCTACTTGGGACACTGAGGCAGAATCACCTGAACTTGGGAGGCAGTGGTTGCAATGAGCCGAGATAGCACCATTGCACTCCAGCCTGGGTGACAGAGCAAGACTATGTCAAAAAAAAAAAAAAAAAAAAAAAGAATTGGCCTCCAGCTTGGCATCAGTGAGGGACTGGCTTGGCTTGGTGATGAGGTGAAGCTGTGTTTACCCTGGGAGCTTCTCTCTGGGGTGGCTGCTCTCTGACCCGGCCATCCATTTGAGATAAGTGACTGAGGAAAGGTTTAACAGGTGTCCCTCTAACTTGAGCAGCGAGCGCCAGGCCCAGTACCATGTCCAAGAGCAGGGGGCCCGGGGGCAGCTTGGGGCACTCTCTCCCCAGTCCCTGACAAAAGATGGAGGAAGATGACACTCACAGTTCGGGTTGCTCGCTCCGTACGCAATCAGCAAGCAGGAGACAGCGAAGCAGGCGCTAAAACCAAGCAGAACGGGAGGGATGTTACTCACCATTACAACTTTATTTAGTGGTTTTTTTAAACAACTTTATTATTTTTTTTCTGTTTGCTTGTTTGTTCGTTTTGAGACGGAGCCTTGCTCTGTTGCCCAGGCTGGAATGCAATGGTGCGATACCAGCTCATTGCAACCTCCGCCTCCCGGGTTCAAGTGAGTCTCCTGTCTCAGCTTCCTTTGTAGCTGGGATTACAGGCGCCTGCCACCATGCTTGGCTAATTTTTGTATTTTTAGTAGAGACGGGGTTTCACCATTGTTGGTCAGGCTTGTCTCAAACTCCTGACCCCACGTGATCCACCCACCTCAAACTCCCAAAGTGCTGGGATTACAGGCGTGAGCCACCGCGCCCGTAATAGTGTTACCATTAATGTCAGTGTCATTTTGGGGTGTGTACGGTGTCAGATGCTTGCAGAACATTTACATGCATTATTTCATTTAATTGAACAATTCTAAGGAGAATAATTGGCCCCAATTTACTGATGAGAAACATAAATCTCATTAAAAAACATAAATCATCTGGACATGGTGGCTCACACCTATAATCTCAGCACTTTGGGAGGACAAGGGGGGAAAAAAATCACTTGAGGCCAGGAGTTCAAGACCAGCCTCAGCCACATAGTGAGACCTTGTCTCTAAGAAAAAATTTTTTTAGAGAATCATCTTGTGAAGCTTAGGAGGCTCTGCCAGGCTCTATAATCCCAGCACTTTGGGAGGTCCAGGTAGGTGGATCACCTGAGATCAGGAGTTTGAGACCAGCCTGACCAACACGGTAAAACCCCGTCTCTACTAAAACTACAAAAATTAGTGAAGTGTGGTGTCAGGCGCCTGTAATCCCAGCTACTCAGGAAGCTGAGGCAGGAGAATCACTTGAACCTGGGCGACAGAGGTGGCTGTGCGCGAAAATTGCACCACTGCACTCCAGCCTGGGCGACTCTGTCTCAAAAATAATAATAACACAAAAAATTAGCAGAGCAAGGTGGCGTGTGTCTGTAATCCCAGCTACTTGGGAGGCTGAGGCAGGATAATCAGTTGAACCTGGGAGGTGGAGGTTGCAGCAAGCTGAGATTTCACCATTGCACTCCAGCCTGGGCGACAAGAGCAAAACTGTGTCTCAAAAAAAAAAAAAAAAAAGGCACGAAGGAGCTGGGCGTGTTGGCTCACACCTGTCATTCCAACACTTTGTGAGGCCAAGGTGGGTAGATCATGAGGTCAGGAGTTCGAGACCAGCCTGGCTAATGTGGTGAAACCCCTCTCTACTAAAAATACAAAAATTAGCTGGATGTGGTGGAGGGTGCTTGTAATCCCAGCAACTCGGGAGGCTGAGACAGGAGAATCGCTTGAACCTGGGAGGTGGAGACTGCAGTGAGCCGAGATCATGCCCCTGCACTCCAGCCTGGACGGGACGACAGAGTGAGACTCCATCTCGGCGGGGGGGAATGAAAAAGAATGGCATAGATCATTTATAATTCCAAGTGCTTATTATATTGGGGTGCGTGTTGAAAATCTCTCTGGTGGAGGGTTGTCTAAGGTCAAATACACTGAGGAAAGCAGTGTTGCTGTTTCTGCATCAGATGGACACCGTGCCAGCCTCAGAACTAGGTTTGAGGGAAACGTATCTCACACGTGAGAGTGAATCCCCAGCGGTCACACTTCTGAACTAGAAAGGGATCGGAAACCCACGTTCCTAATGCCAAGCAACTCCAGATCCACCCCCCCACCCGGAGCCTGGCGCTGTTCTTTCTTTTTTTTTTTTTTTTTTTTGAGGCGGAGTTTCGCTCTTGTTACCCAGGCTGGAGTGCAATGGTGCAATCTCAGCTCACCGCAACCTCCGCCTCCTGGGTTCAGGCAATTCTCCTGCCTCAGCCTCCTGAGGATTACAGGCACATGCCACCATGCCCAGCTAATTTTTTGTATTTTTAGTAGAGACAGGGTTTCACCATGTTGACCAGGATGGTCTCTATCTCTTGACCTCGTGATCCACCTGCCTCGGCCTCCCAAAGTGCTGGGATTACAGGCTTGAGCCACTGCGCCCAGCGTTTTTCTTATTCAGCACAGGAACACACGAGGACCACAGTACCTGGCACCCGGTGGGTGACGGGGTAGGAACTCCACTCTGGATGGGCCTTTACGGAGCCCCACAGCAAACCTGAAGCAGGTATGACCAGGATACCCTTCTGTGTGGAGCTCAGCCCAGGGGCCCACCTGCCCATCCCCTGCCCCCCAGGGACCCCCGCTGACCTGCCCAGCAGCCGGAGCTTCCTCGGGCCATACTTGTCCATGACGATGCCCAGGGGCAGGGTGATGGCACTGAGCAGAAAGGAGCCCACGGTGAAGGCCAAGTTCAGCATCTCGTCCTGGGCCTGGCAGCTGAGCCAGCCGTTCATCCAGCTCACGTCCTCATGCCCTGGCTCTGCCGTGCCACCCACTGTGCCATTGGTGACATTCTCTGTGTGAAGAGGGAAGAAAACCTGACCTCCGGGTCATGGCAGGGGCAGGTGCCCACTCAGAGCTCCCCCACTGGGAATGCCAGCGCTGGCTCAGAGGTTTGCCAGGGCTCAGGCTACCCCGCAGCAGGCTTGGATGGCCATTTGGCTCAAGTCCCTGGAGTGAAAATAACTTCTGTGGGGGCCATGGATGGGAGCCACGGGCCCTTTGAAGAATCCAGTAGAGACCCAGGAAATGCACGCCAAGGTTTATCCACAATTTCAGGAGCTTCGTATGTCCCTCAAAGAGCAACGAAGCCCAGGTTGAGAGCCCTGTTTCAGCTGTTCTAGTGCATCCTCCACCCTGAATGGCAGACCTCGGTGGGGGGCAGCGGGGGGGCTCAGCCTTGGCTGGGAGCGCCTCACTGCAGCTGTGTCCATGGGACAGACTGCAGCGAGCAGGCGGGCAGATGCCAGACCACCCAGGACAGACAAGCTGCTGGTGTACCCCAATACCCTGGTCCTCCTCTGTCAGGGTGGGGAGACTGAGGCGCCTCCTTCAATGGTGAGCCCGGTGGCCTTCACAAACGCAGGACAGATGCCACCTTCTGCCCCTAAAATTTTCATAGCATCAAACACCACATGAACTGTGTCTTGGAACCACTTTGGAAAGTTCTGGTTTTTTATTTATTTATTTATTTTTTTTTTTGAGACGGAGTTTCGCTCGTTACCCAGGCTGGAGTGCAATGGCGCGATCTCGGCTCACCGCAACCTCCGCCTCCTGGGTTCAGGCAATTCTCCTGCCTCAGCCTCCCAAGTAGCTGGGATTATAGGCACGCACCACCATGCCCAGCTAATTTTTTGTATTTTTAGTAGAGACGGGGTTTCACCATGTTGACCAGGTTGGTCTCGATCTCTCGACCTCGTGATCCACCCGCCTCGGCCTCCCAAAGTGCTGGGATTACAGGCTTGAGCCACCGCGCCCGGCCCAAGTTCTGGTTTTTTTAATCACCCTGTGTTATTTGCTTTCACTCACTGAGACACCCCCCACCTTTATTTATTTTTTTTTTTGAAGATGGAGTCTCACTTCTGTCACCCAGGCTGGAGTGCAGTGGCACGATCTCGACTCACTGCAACCTCCGTCTCCCAGGTTCAGGTGATTCTCCTACCTCAGCCTCCCCAGTAGCTGGGCCTACAGGCACCTGCCACCACGCTCAGCTAATTTTTGTATTTTAAGTGGAGACAGGGTTTCACCACGTTGGCCAGGCTGGTCTTGAACTCCTGACCTTAGGTGACCCGCCCGCCTCGGCCTCCCAAAGTGCTGGGATTACAGGCATGAGCTGCTGCGCCCAGCCAAGATGCAACTTTCTAATTTTCCTTGCTGGGGTCACCGTGTTGCCACCCTGTGCCCACACCCAGACCCCGCTACGTGCTGTGCCTCCGAGTCTGGTGTGTCCGACACACCCAGCCCTTAACGGCCCCCTCCAAAGTCCACCCAGCCACCTAACAGCACAAAAAGGAAGAGAAAAGTGCTGTGGCAGCGGAGGGCAGGAGGGCGGAGGATGGGCCGGGAGCGCAGCGGAGGAGCTCTCCTCGCTGGGACTGCTAGTTAAGAGATGCTGACTAATCCTGCAGAAAACAGGAGCAGACTTTGATTAGATGTGAGGTCACACTGGGAGAGTGAAGGAAACGCTTTTCTCCAGATAACTGCCTGCCTTCCAACTGCAGCCCTCTGGCGCCAGGGCCCTGGAGCTGAGGTTTGCAAAGGCTTGCTCAAGCCTCTCGGAGCTGCCCCAAGGTCACTGGAAGGGATGCACAGGGGTGGAATCCGGCCTCATGCCAGCGTGTGACCAGGGAGACCCGCCAGGGGCGGATGGATGGAGAGCGCGGTGCTGGAATCTGGCTTCCAGGTTCCAATTTCGGTTCCTCAACTTTCTACCAACGTGACCTTGCTCTGGCTCAGTTTCCTCATCCACAAAATGGAATCATATGATAATAACATCTATCTCCTAGAGTTTAGGCGAAGATCCACGAGAAAATCCCAAAAACCAAAGAAAACGGAAAAAAAGAAAAAAAAAAAAAACAAGAGAAAATCCAGAGAAAACCTTCTGGAGTTCACCTAGGTATAGAAAGCACCCAATAAAGGCAGGGCGTAGTGGCTCCCGCCTATCACCCCAGCACTTTGGGAGGCTGAGGTGGGCGGATCATGAGGTTGGGAGATCGAGACCATCCTGGCCAACATAGTGAAACCCTGTCTCTACTAAAAATACAGAAATTAGCTGGCCATGGTGGCAGCTCATGTCTATAATCCCAGCACTCTGGAAGGCCAAGGTGGGCGGATCACCTGAGGTCAGGAGTTGAAGACCAGCCTGGCCAATTTGGTGAAACCCCATCTCTTCTAAAAATACAAAAATTAGCCAGGCATGGTGGTGGTGGGCACCTGTAATCCCAGCACTCTGGTAGGCCGAGGCAGGTGGGTCACCTGAGGTCAGGAGTTCAAGACCAGCCTGGCCAACATGGAGAAACCCCGTTTCTACTAAAAATACAAAAATTAGCCGGGCGCTATGGCTCACGCCTGTAATCCCAGCACTCTGGGAGGACAAGGCGAGTGGATCACCTGAGGTCAGGAGTTCAAGACCAGCATGCTCAAGCCAACATGGCAAAACCCTATCTCTACTAAAAATAAAAAAATTAGCCAGGCATGCACCTGTAGTCCCAGCTACTAGGGAGGCTGAGGCAGAACAATTACTTGAACCGGGGAGGTGGAGGTTGCAGTGAGCAGAGACTGCACCACTGCACTCCAGCCTGGGTGACAAAGTGACATCCCGTCTTGATAAAAAGTAAAACCAAAAGTGAAACCAGATCACAATGGCCAAAAGGCAAAGGATCAAGAGAGGAATCAACAGAACCAAGCTGAATCTCGGGGGATTTAAGGAGATCAGAGCCACAAGGTGAACCACTCAGAGCTGTAGAAACAAAACCTCACAACCTGATTCCCCACTCTGCCAGTTTCTCTCAGTTTCCCAGAAGCCCCCTCCCCCCACACTGTCAGCCAAAGCACGTGGCAAGCAGGGTCCTCAAGCGAGCAGCAACAGGAATTGGCTCTGAAGTGGGGGGAACAGGGTCTCTACACAGCAACAGTCATTTCCAAGAGGACATGCAGAGAGGAGCAAACTGGTGCTGAGGTGACGGAGGGGATGGGTGGAGAGGGCGCTCCAGGGCCCGGGAGGGTGGCCTGTGGGGCCATGCAGGGTCTGGAAGCAGCACTGCCCATGAGCAAAGGCATGGGGACCTCCAGTGATCCCAGGGAGGAGCCACAGCTGGGTCCCTAAACCCATGGCTTTTCTCTTCTAGAGCCAGACGGTAAAAATCCCAAGGCTCTGTACCCAAGGCAGCCTCCTTGATTTTTTTTTTTTTTTTTTTTTTTTTTTGAGACAGAGTTTCGCTCTTGTTACCCAGGCTGGAGTGCAATGGCGCGATCTCGGCTCACCGCAACCTCCTCCTCCTGGGTTCAGGCAATTCTCCTGCCTCAGCCTCCTGAGTAGCTGGGATTACAGGCACGTGCCACCATGCCCAGCTAATTTTTTGTATTTTGAGTAGAGACGGGGTTTCACTATGTTGACCGGGGGCTTGAGCCACCGCGCCCGGCTTTTTTTTTTTTTTAAAGATGGTGTTTCACCATGATGGCCAGGCTGGTCTTGAACTCCTGACCTCAGGTGAGCCACCCATCTCGGCCTCCCAAAGTGCTGGGATGACAGGCCTGAGCCACAGTGCCCGGCCAGCCTCCTTGATTTGCCAGCAGCAAGGATAGGGTAAAATGTCTTAAGGCCAGGCCTGGGGACTCATGCCTGTCATCCCAGCACTTCGAAAGGCCGAGGCAGGCGGATCACCTGAGGTCAGGAGTTCCAGACCAGCTTGGCCAACGTGGTGAAACCCCGTTTCTACTAAAAATACCAAATTTAGCTGGGCATGGTGGTGTGCGCCTGTAATCCCAGCTACACAGGAGGCTGAGGCAAGAGAATTGCTTGAACCCAGGAGGCGGAGGTTGCAGTGAGCCGAGATGGAGCCATTGCACTCCGTGTCAAAACAAACAACAATAAAATGTCTTAAATTGATTAGAGATCTAGGTCACCCCTTTAACTGCATAGGGGAGAGGTGAGGGTATCTGTCCTTCCCATCTTTACCCTGGAGCTACCACATACAGGGGCAGGGACCTCACACTCTAGAGCACCATCCCTCTCCCCTTAAACAAATCCCTCCCACGTGGCCAGCAGGCCCTCTGCCTGCCTCCTGCCTCCTGCCTCCAGACAGTCCTGTCCAGCCACAGATGCTTCTGTGTGGGCTGGGGGGAGGTGAGTGGCTTCTCCTGCTTACAGAGCAATTGAGAGTCTCCCTGCTCCTGGAGGGAACAAAACCCTTGGTGAGCCCAGCAGCTTTGTTGACAGTAACAGCCCACACAGCCCAAGCAGATGGCCACACACAGTCACACCCAGGCTGCTCCTCTCCCTCTGCTCCCACCTGGGCACTGTGGGCCAGGGGAGAGACAAACAGATTAAACACCCAGGAAGTGCCAAGGCCTGGGATGCCCCTCTGCTCCCCGCCTGGAGCTTGGGCCTCACCCTGGGCCAGCCTGCTGCGCTCCTCACCTGCACCTGTTTATTCAACAGACGCCTCCTCGGGGGTGGCCAGAGTGGCCCGGCCTGGCCCGGCCAGGGAAGGTGAACCGAGGGGACGGGCAACAGCTGCAGTGGCCAGCGCATGCCAAGAACAGGAGCAGGGCTGCTCAGGACGAAAGCCGGGCAGGGAGGCGGGGCGCTACCCACCCGCTCACAGGAGACGCGCCAGATGTTTACGGAGGCATCAGGGAGAAGAGAGGGTGCTGTGACCCTGCTCGGGCTCCCCCGAATCAGAGGAGCCTCCCCACACCCCGGGGAGACAAAGGAAAGGGGGACCTCCATGAGGCTTGCAGGGACCAAGGAGTACCTGGCTTGAGGTCTCCTCCAAGTTCCTGAGCTGTCCTTGC